CTCTTTTGGGTTTACTTATAAACACATCAGTCTTCAAATCCAATCATGAAAATATTGAATGTTTATTTGGCCACGGATGGAACTGCCGCGTGATATTTTTCGTGCAGTTATGTCAATGAAACGTTTTAAATTTTTACTTTCAAATTTGCGATTTGATAACCCAGATGATAGGGAAGAACGAAAGAAATCTGATCCGGCAGCACTTATTTCTGAAGTGATGAATTTATTCATTTATAACTCCCAGAAAGCGTACACATTAGGCACTTGCGTCTGCATTGATGAAATGCTTGTTGGATTCAGAGGAAAGTGTCGCTTTAAAATGTATATGCCCCAAAAGCCTGTGAAATATGGATTAAAAGTTATGTGTTTGACTGATGCCCGGAATAATTATGCTTACAATGCATATCTTTATTGTGGAAAAGACTCTGATGGAATTAGCATAGAAGAGAGTTGGAAAAAATTCAGCAAACCAAGTCAAGCTTTTCTGCGTTTGAGCAAACCAATTTTTAATATGAACAGGAATGTAACAGCAGACAATTGGTTTTCTTCCATAGAACTTACCACAGAATTGTTGAAAAAATGGACTGACATACGTTGGAACTGTTAAAAAAAATAAAAAAGAAATTCTGAAAGATTTTTTCCCATGTAAGTCAAGAAAAGAGAATTCAACATTGTATGGATTTACTAAGGACATATCCTTGATTTCATTTGTTCCAAAGAAAAGGCGAGCAGTGGTTTTGATGTCATCATTGCATCATTCGATAGAAACAGACTCGGAAACACAGAAACCTGAAATAATTGTTTTTTATACCAGAACCAAAGGTGGTGTTGATGCTTTAGATGAAAAATGTTCTGTCCATTCCTGTAGTAGGAGAACAACGCGTTGACCTATGGCTCTTTTTTACCGGTTAGTAGATATGAGTACAGTAAACGCATACATTTTGCACCAAGGTTATAACCAAAACCCTGTTATGACCAGAATGGTGTTTTTGAAAGAATTAGCGAGAGAATTAGTCCAACCACTACTACACAAGAGAGTGAAAAATCCAAGAATAAATCGAGAAAGTGCGCCTGACGATAAAGCGGATTTTAGGAAAAGAAGCTGAGTCTAAGGATGTGGAGCAGTGCACAAAAGAAGCAAAATTAAAATCAAGGAAAACATGTTGTCTGTGCCCCCCAAGCAAGAAACGAAAGACAGCATATTTATGTTTCTCTTGCCAAGACCCTGTTTGTTTGGAATGCACGCAAAAGTTATGCAATGAATGTGCTAAAGACGACGAAAACTAAATTGTTTACTATCAGAAAATCATTGAGATACTGATACTTCTGGTACTGTCAAAATTTTTATGTATTGTGCTACATACAATTTTCTCCGGTTAAAATTTGCTTTAAATATTAACTAATATAGATAAAATAGTTAACTCAAAGTAGATGCATTCTTATTTTTAGTTTTATAGAATTTAGTGCAACGTATGATTTTCATCGAAAAATTTAAGGCTAAATTCAAGGCCTGTTGTGTTCAACTTTTTCACCTCCCCTGTTACGGGTTAATTAGATGAAACAGCAACTTTATACAAATACCAGTATCGCTTTTGCTAGACTCGTGTCAGCCGAAATAGAATCAGATCATCGTAGTCAGATATTCTTATGAATTATACCAAAGGCTTGTTGTAAAAAGATGGATAATGCACACAAGGCCGGACGAAAATTAGGTTTACATCAATGATGAATGAAATGAAAAATAAATGCAAGCTCCTTGTGTCCCCCCCTCCCAAAAAAAAAAAGTCGCAGTAGATAAAAAAAAAAATCTGGTGTATTTATACCCTCATCAAAGGTAGGGAAAAGTAGGGCCCAAACCCGCAATACAAATCTTTAGTACCAGCTGAATTTTCTACTTGAGCATGTAACCTCCGTGCTTTAAAATATCTTGCGGGTAAATATGGTTTTCACACTTCACGTTCAGGAAACTGAAAAAGCATCTGGGCTACTCTGAAACTAGTCATAATATTTTCTGTATATATATATATATATATATATTTTAAATACCAACTCCATTTCAACAGTACTCCTGGTGACACTTGAATCCAAAATCTTTAACTCAAGAAGCCAACGTTTTATCCACTAGGCAATAAGAGCAACCTTAAATTGATGTAGATATATTTTAAGAAAAATTTAAAATCTGGGATTTCAAAATCCATCACTATTTTCTCGCAATAATATATTGCTTTAGATTATTCTGTAAAAATTATAAACCATATATAATTTATGGTTGATTGTTAAGGTTTATTACTGCTAATAAACTTGAGGATTTACCTTTATTTTAAAGCTATTTATTCTATTATCATATGCAGTTTTTTATTATCACCTGAAATTTTTATTAAGATTAGTCCATTTGACTTTTTTTCCATCAAGAAGAACTTTTGAAAGTGCTATCATATAAAAACCATGGTATAAACTGAACATTTGAAACAAGATACCTAAAACTGACACGTCATGTGTCAAAAAGTTACAGTTAAGTCAACTCATGCGTTCTCCGGTCTTTCGGAAAAAAAGCCATGTCTGAGCTCGCTTTCGATTGGTCAACGCTTTCCGCCCGAATGTGAGACTACGTTGGTGTGAACCGAGCTTTATACATTGTTCCAAACACATGCCTCTTTAAATACCAAACCTGAGAAGTTTTGGGTTATCTCAACATATTTTTTAATGAAAATTTGTTCAGAGCTTCAAATAAAGCATCACTTTTGATTTATCAGTTTTAGCCACAATCAAATACCATACTATTCACATTGAATAAAAATCTTATATACTGTAATTTTTGTTGTTGTTGTTGTTGTTTTGGGTTATATTTTAATATATTTTTTTTTATTAAAAACTGTTATGTACTTCAAGTAAATCACTACTTCTGGTTGTCATTAAAGACTGTTATAGGTACCACTTCCAGTTTATGTAAAATACTTCTTCCAGTTATCCAATGTTACCCAAAATCTAATCAACTCATTACATGAAGCTAGAATGCTTAAACACACACACACACACAAAAAAAATAAATAAATAAATAAATAAATAAATAAAAATAAAAAAAAATAAAATAAAATAAAAAGTAAAAAATAAATAAATAAATAAATAAAAAATAAAATTAAAAAAAAAAAAAATTATCAACCTACACATGGGTTGAAAGGCTGAGTCAACATTGCCCAGCCCAGAGATCAAACTTCCGTCCTGTGATGCAGCTGCGCGCATGCTAGCCACTGCACCACCCGGCCTCACATTTGCTAATTATTTCTATAAAAATATTGATGATAACATTTGGTGGCAGCACCCTTTTATTCAAAAAGTTATTGTTATTATTAGTTATTTATTTGAAAAGTGAAAGGAACACAAAATTGGAGATTGAGGCTAATACATTTAACTGCTTCCATGATGAAAACTCTTCTTCGTATTGAGCTTATTCTCGCTGTATTTAGCATAATTTCATAAATCTATTTAATGCTTATAAATGTTATACATTGTTCGAAACACATACTTTTTTAGTTACCAAATCTGAGAAGTATTGGATTATCTTGATACAGTTTTTTATTAAAAACTCTTATGTACTTCAAGTAAAGCTCTACTTCTGGTTTTCATAAAAGATTGTTATAGGTACCACTTCTAGTTTATGCAAATACTTCTTTCAGCTGTCCAATTTTACCCAAAATCTAATCAACTCATTATATGAAGCTAGAATGCTTAATTACATTAAAGAAAAATTTGGGGAGGTTTCATATAAGAGTTATTATGAACGAAAAAATTCTCATACAAATACAGACAGACATTGCAAAAATAGCAAAAATGTGTTGAGGGAATCGCAATTCTTTTTTTTTTTTTTTCACTGAAAATTCATTATAGTCAAAAGTCGTTAATTCGGACACCCATAATCCGGAATGATCTATAATCCGGACCTCAAAGCTAAAAACTTTCTGCGCATGCGCCACGTTGGCACATGCGCACAGGCGGTTAACGCGTGCGCGTAAGACCTTGACTATTGCGCATATGCGTGTGCGCAAGTGCAGAATACGTTTTCGCCTGCGCGTTTAATGTATAACGGACGGTGTAAGCTAAAATTATCTAATTATCTATTTCAGTTAATGTTAATGATTGCGTTGTTCCTTAATCTTCGAATTGGATCCCGCTTATTATTTTTTGCAGACTGTAAGAGCAATTTTATAAAAGTAAACTTAAACTTTCGATTATGTCAAATAGAATTTCCGATGCTGGAACTTCCAAAGGATCTACAAAACGAAAGTATGTTTCGATGTCTAACAAACAAAAAGGGGAATTGCTGCAAAAAATGGATAAAGACATGAAGAAGGTGACAGAGAGGTTAGTGAAAACGAAAAAATTTCGATTGACAAGTTAGTCGGTATTATCGGCACAGCAATTAACGGGAATTGAACAGCGGAACTTTGTAACTGAACAAGAAATTATGTCTGTTTATAGAATTAAAGAGAAAGTATTATCACATAAAATGAAACAACTTACATTGAAAGAAATGTTTAATAAAGTAAACAAATAAATATTAAGCTTTTTTTTTTTTTTTTTTTTTTTTTTTTTTTTTTTTTTGTAAATTTTTTGATACCCTTTAGATCATAATTGTTCTTTATTTCATAAATTACGGTTTCATATTTTTAATTTTAGAATTTCTGCATGCCATCTTACGAGATTTAAACTGATGATCTATAATCCGGAAAAATCGATAATCCGGAATCGCCGAAGTCCTGACGAGTCCGGATTAACGACTTTTGACTGTACTTAATTTTGACCAAAAACAATACCTCCCTTACCTTCATGGCGGTTTTTACATTTACTTTTTCTTTGTATAACTGATTTGTGTAAGAGAAAAATTTTACTTTGCCAATAATCTTTATGTTAACATTAAAATTTTTACACCAACATTAAAAGGTTTTATATAAATATTTTAGACAAATTATAAAGTTATTACAATAAAATATAACAACACTTACGGAACTTAAGTGTTCTACAACATCCCCAAGTGTCATCTTGTTGTTTATATCAACAGATACAAGTTCACCAGAAGAATATACAACAACAGTAACATTGGACATTTCAGCTTTTACTAGTGCCATCAGTATAATATCACTAACATGAGAAGGAGTAAGAGCACTGCATCCTACACAGTGGATGTGATTCATTGACAATCTTATGTCCAAAGCAATAAGATATCGTTTTTCCTTAGGAATAATTGTCTGCAACAGAAGAAAATATTAAAATCATATTTAAATTATATAATGTTTTTAATATTATCTTTATAAAAAGATAATGTTTTTAATATTCAAAGATAATTCAAATTTAACATTTGTATTCATTCCTGGTGTTGATATTCAGTATTTAAAAAGGCCACATATTTCTGAACAACTGTGTTTCATTTAAAGTTTACTTTTCATTTTCAGATAAGAAGTTGTTAATATGACATATAATGAAGTAGTATATATTGATATTAAACAAATAACTACTTTAATTTTTGCATAAGATATTCTTTGTACATCATAGTTATGGTTCTGAAGTACTTAGAGTAAATGACAAATCTGAGATTTAAAGAAAACATAAAGTATTCAAATTCAATATTATATTTTTTGTTTTTGTAAACAATTATTCAAATGCTGTATGCATCTAGTCAAAGTAAATAGGTCATGTGTAATATTATTAAGTAGGTGCAGATATATTGCACTGGTTAAAAATGAAATTAGTTATTTGTTCATGTGATTTTGGATTGCATTATGAACAGCAACTTTTATTCACAAATTTCAAACTGCAAATTAAATATTTTCTATTGAATATTAATTCTTGAAATAAGAGTTCCTGAAATGTAGTCAGTTATAATTTAGTTTGTGAAATATTTTTTTTAATTTTTTTAATGCTAAATTGATTGTACGTTGATCTATTTAGATTCTGTCTCCTGTTAAATTTATATATTTTATCTGAAACTTCATATGGTCAAAATGCACTTTTGTTTAGAATAGTTAACTAAGCATAAACAATGCTGTTTCTGGCTAAAGGTAAAAAGCATAATCTTAAGATTTTAACAGAAGAGTTAGTTGTGATCTTAAGCCCAAATTTAAAAATTTCAAAACTATTAAATATCATTAGAAAGTTAAAAAAATTATGAAGAAGGGTTTGCCAAAATCCTTTTGACAATCAAAATTACCAACATATTAAAGCTATGTCACAAAAAAGGTTTAAACTTATTGCTGACAAATTTAGACAAATGTTTTCTCAGTATATTCTTCGTGAGATGGCTTTTGATAAACTGAAAGACCTAATTATAACTGATCAAATCAAAAAGTGACCCCCACCAGAATATAAAGATCAATTTACAAAAGACTGGATTAACTGGAATTCACGTAAGTATAGTCAAAAGACAGCCTCACCAAAAGACCAAGCCTCACAAAGATCAATTTACTGATAATTGGATTGACTAGAATTCACATGGTGAACTAGCACATGGAAATGTAAAAAATATTGGGAAGAAGAATTTTAGCCTTCCTTTAAAAAGAAAGTCGACGAAAAGGGAAAGAAGAAATCTCCAAGGCTGGTCTCAAAAAAAAAGGGGTTGTAATCCAAATAGAAATCCTAAACTGGAACTGAAGACAAAACAAGAATGTCTGTTATTAACATGTTATAGATACAGTAATCCCTGTTTTATCACGACAAAGTGCCCAAAATGCAACAGTTATACATATACAAGATTTATTAAGATGTCAATTTTTTTTCCCTTGACAAGATGTTTCCAGGCACGTCCTTAAGACATTTGAGCATTTAAGACGTTTTGAAAAAGAGACATTTCTTCTTCTTCACCCCCCCAACTCAAGATGTTATTAAAGATGATCCACAAGAGGAATGAGCTTTCTTTTTTTTTAAATTTAATTATTTTAGATTTCACTACACATTCATCAACTTCAGGAGGATCTTTCATATCAGGATGCCCTAATGTGAGAATCAGGAGGGCTACAGTTAAATATGACTGGGAAGAGAGAAGGGCAAGAAGATGCATGATGGGAAGAGAGAAGTGAGAGGATGATGCCATAGAAAAAATGTGGCAGGTAATAATGACAAAGAGGCTTAATAATAGAAAAGACAGACTAAAATTAATGATGGATTTTAATTGTAATACTTGATCAGCATATAGCCACATTTCTTTTTAAGAAAAAAAATGTATGTATCATTTTTATAGTTTAATTAAATAATTTGGATTTATATGTACATTCATCAGATGGATACATAAGTCTCTCTCTCTCACACACACACTTACTTACATACAGTGAACTGAATGATGATTTATGTCATCATTCTTTTTCATCTGTTAAAAATCGCCAAGCTTCATCAAGGTGGTTACATTAATATGCAAGTACCACAAAAGCTTATAATACTAAGATTTTCCATAATAAAAACTAAATCAAAAAGACAGAGAAATTAACAGGGGACATTTTGCAGATACTTTATGTGTCATATGTGGTACCTTTAATACCTTCCACATGGTGATATTGCCTAATGTTTCTTAATATTCAGTATTTAAAGTATTATTCAGTATGGCCTAATTTAACTCCTTCAATATTTTGCCACCCTTTCAATGATGATTATCTTCAAATTCATACAAAACAAAAGTATAAAAAATACATTTAGTCCTACTTTTTCTAACTATAATTTTCAGGACAGAAAAATGCAATACATAACAGAGTTAACATAATTTAAAAAATACTAACCTTAAATGAAGCTAAATGCAGTTTCTGTAGGGCATCATCCAAAGCAGGGGTATTTTGCCGTAGAATAGGTTTACCAGGTAAGATTCTGTTTGCTATTTGCCACTTTCTTAAAACTAAAAATGTTTCCAATGGATCTAGACTTCCATCATTCAAAGATTCTTCCAAGCTCAGGCGTTCTAAAACAGCCTTGTAATGCTGGCTGTTTAATTTCAGTAAACCTAATTTACTGAAGCGAGGTAAAAGTTCTAAAAGGCATTTCAGAGGTACTCTTGGAATCAAACAAAGGGCTACCTAATAATACATTAAAATGCAAATGTTGCATTGATGTAGTATGTAAAATTTTAAAATTAATACCATGAATACATTTAAGCAATTAAAATAACAACAACAGCAGTTAATCAAATAGAAAATGCATTTCATAATGTTTGCCTTTTTCTTATTAGACAACAAGTAATAATAAATTTAAGAGTAATATCATATTACCTAAAGCACTTTCTGACCATCCATACCCCCAATTTCAAAACAAAAACATAGAAATGCTATGTTTTTGTTGTATCTGTGAGTGCATGTACAACAATAGGCAATACACACACATGTGCACACCATATATGCTTTGAAACACTCATAATTTATATTTAACTGTTATTTTATTGGATAATATCCACTGGCAGTTAACCCACCCACCCCCTGAGCATTACGGCTTTTTCAGGAAAGCGCATAAAAAATAATCGTGTGTACTTACCAGGTTTGTTACAAAAACGGCAAATATTTTGACTCAAACTACTTCAAAAGCGGGCTCCCCTTACCATGTGGATATAATTAAGCAAATTCTCCCCTCCGTTGAATTTAGCGAGTGAAATTAGTTTTTCTCCCTATGGTATCTTCGTCACAGGATTGGTTGCTAAAATGGTATTTTATCTAGTATTTGGCTACTTTATAATTTGCATACTAATACATACGCTGTATATTACTCATACCTTAATCAAGATATGGGCCGAATACAGAAAGTTAGTCAAATATCAGTATATCAGTAAAAGAAACAACATAAAATGCTTTAAATTTCCAGTTAAGGAATTGCTTCGATAATAGTGAAAAATTAATCTTGCATTTTTTATCGTTATTTTCTGAGAAAATACTTTTTAATATACAAAGGGAATTTGTGAGAATTTTTTTCTCTCATGTTCCAATTTTTTATTATTCTATGAAATTTTAATTATTCTATGATCAGCCAAAATAGAGTTATAATTATCCTCTTGAATATTTGAACATGTAAAATATGCCAATATGGTATATGCAAACAAGTAAAATTATCTTATTACTGTTAGGGAGGCTGAATGTGAAACTTCCTTTAAAATGGCGGCAAAACATATGACAGTTTTAGGTTTAGTTTATTTGATTATGGCAAAGCAAGAAAGTGTTAGCTTATTAATGAAAGTATGTCTTCGTGGAGAACTTCCCAAGGGAAATTAGCTGGTATTGACGTTACACAGGAGGAAAACCACTGAAGTGTCTATGCAGTCAACCTGTTTGCCAGAATATGAGTCTGGGTCGAACTACCAGTGTTCAACGATATTACCGCTCGACTATTGGGTAGCCCATATCTATTTAGGAAAATGTGACCTTACGTGCTATGTTAGAATTTTTAAATCTATCTGACATGCAAATTATTTAGCCGATGCAATGTAATAGCAAATTCTTTAATGACTTGATTCTTGTAGTTTTCTACGAAACTGGGTCTTCTGATGACCGACTGGATAAGACCACAATTTGTAAATTTGTAAATTTACAAATTGTACCACAATTGTACATTTGTAAAGACTTACCTGTTTTTGCCTTGCGTCCTCTGGTGGTGCAAGTAGTAGCAGATCCAACTAGTAAACTGAAAGATCTATGATTCGAATTTCAGTCTTTAAGAGAAGAGACTATATGGAATTAACAGCTGAATAAGTTTGAAGATTCATTATTGTGTTCAAGGCCTCATCAATGGCTGAACAGTTAAGACCTCTGAATCTGGAACTCTGAACATTAAGACCTCTGAATACTGGCAGTTCGTCCTGGTTTGAGTTCGATCTCAGGCGAATGGGCTGACTGCATGTTTCAGTTTCATGGTTTTTCTCATGTGTAATACGCTAGCTTTCTTCAGAATATCCTCCACGAAGGCATCCCTCCTCTTAGGTAGATAGTCTTCATAGCTTTCCCGTATTTAAAAAACCGAACCGACTATGGCTGTGATCCTGCCGAGCGCAATGTTAAGTTTACCTGTTTCATGGCTTTAAGCACCTAATGGATTCTATATATTATTATTATCAATGAATTCCTCTCAGGAAGTTATCCAAAAATATATTAACAGCACAGTTTTTTTTTTTTTTTTTTTTTTTTTTGAGGATATTTTCCTTTCTCAGAAAAGTACTCAGTAAAAAGATGGATTTCAAATTTGAAATTTTTATCATATTCAGTTAGTAAATTAATTGATATAATGTTACTACTTAGTTATCTATGTTTTCATTGGAAACCCTTTAAGGACATACTATAACAGTAATTACTTTTGTTCTTTTTTAAGTTCCTCTATGCATTATAATATTAACAAATAAAGCAATATTTGTGTTCTTGCTACCTCACAGTACTTATATTATACAATAAAATAAGCACTGTAACACAGCAACAACAATTAAATGCATTCTTACATAACAACCCCAATTGAAACAACTAACTAAAAACAGCAAATGCATTCCCCAAATTTTGACTTTTCTAGTATGTTGTAAAGTAAGCTTTAGAATATTTTGGAAGAGCTAGTCAGAAATTATGTGAAAAGAAGTGAATCCAGTTTTCATTTTTACAGACATTCGTATAATGTATCAATTTATTTTAAGCCATTTTAACCAGTAATTACAACTTAATACTGTTTCAAACTAAAAAATAATGAATGGAAGCATTCACAATGCTCGAACACAGCATATTTAAAAGAGTGCAGGACTTTGCTAGGAACCTTTGTTAGGAGGAAGCAACTGATTGAAAGCATGTGTTCATATTATCACACCTGCCATTTATGCTGTAAGAAAAGGTACGTCTTTTGTATGCGTATGTTTAAAAACTTGTTTTTCCATTCCGTAAGTAAAGCATTCCCCCAGGGGTGTAATTACTATTTTGTGACAAATCTGAACTCCTGCAGTTCTTCAAAACCGCGAACTGAATGTATCTACGATGACTTTACTGAATGATCAAAGCCATCCGTTATTGTGAACCATTTTAAGCTTTCCTTTAGAAATACAGAAGGTTACAAGTACGGGTTTTTTACACATCTTCAGCTATACTTTTTTAATCACTGTCATTTAACATAAATGTAAAATCAATCAATATTTAGTCATTCCTTCACGTAGCATGACAAAAAAATTTTTTCTTAAGTTATATGTTTATGGTTGAAGTTGCTATGTGTATTTCAATTTATGCTATGGAACGGCATGGCGATCATCTGCATATGTAAAAATAAAATTATGGTAAAATACTTGATCTCTAATAGAAGAGATTAAATTTAAAAAGTTGTGATTTGTCTAAAATAATGATCTCTCGCAAAATCTTTTCCATAATATATGACGATTTTCTCTAGCGGGACAAGCTTTTTTTTTACTGCTTAGACCTATGAATCTTGGGCATAAGGCTCAGATTTTATGATCAGTTATTGCTGACTAAAGAATGTAGTACTTTGATAAAGAAATTAAAATAAGGTTAGCTATTATTATTTTGGTAATTCTAAATATTTTTTAAATTGGACTAATCCAAGTTTTATTCAAAATCATCTAATGATTCAAAAAGGTTCTTCAGATTGCTGACGAAATTATTTAAAAGAAAACTGTATTTGATATGTTAAACAAGTTATCATTGCAGTGATATGTTATCATTGCAGCTGTCTAGATAACATTCAGTCTAACGCTGATACTATTTTAGAGGAAATTTATATGCATTTTAAATAATAAATAATGCAGGTCATTCTTCTTTATTATACATCATTTGCCTACGACAACTTCACCATTCGCCAACAATATATATATAAAAAAACAATAAAATAAACTAAACAAACATAAAAAAAAATTGTGCTTCTTTTCTTATTAGTATTTTGTTTTTATTATTTCATTACTGCTATTTCTTTTATTCAAATTTGTAACTCTTAGAAAAGTTGCGAATTACATTTCGGAAATTCAGATGTTACACTGTAGGTTATTTTAATAATTTATGAAACAAAATATGGAAATTTTTACTCAGCTCTTCGTTGCTGCTTGTAGTTACATTGCGTTGAGCAAAGTAATATATACCGTAATTTCCGGAAGAAATGCTACGGCGTTTATGTGTTTAAAACTTAAATTTTCAGCAGGTGCGGCGTTTAGGTGCACTAAAAATAAAATATTTTCTATGATGGTCATTGTACATAGTTTGGATGGCCTTGTCATTGTGCATGGACTGGTGCTGTTTCCACACAAAAGACCACTCAGTTGCTTTTTGCAAACGTTATTTTGTTTACATTCTTTCCCTTGAATGGACCTACATGCCTTATTTACCCTAAACAAGATCTCAGAACAATAACATTCTTCCCCCCTTTCAAATCAACATTCTTATCAGTTTGAATAGTCTCTCTCCTCTGCCGTTCGATGAATCTTCCAGGACTCATCCTCTCCCCACCCCTGCCTTTTCAGCAATTTTTTTCAAAGGCGAACACGACTCCACCTGCATTGTAATAACGAACTCCGACGTATTTCCCCTTCAGCATGAAATCGATTTTTTCTTGGCATTGTGTCAGATACAGAGCCAGTCAGTTTTGATGCAAATGCTTGTTGGATAGTTTTTAAGTGAAGAAGGGAAGCGGGAAAATTTTTGAAAATGTCACCTAAACAGCACAGAAGCTTATACTTGCTGGTTTTAAGCTTAATGTAATTTACACATGCTGAACAAATTGGAAAATAGAGCAGCAGCTCGAGAGTTTGAAAGGGATGAGAGATGCATTTGATGTTGGAGAACTGAAAAAGAAGAATATAAAAATATGCCACAAAGAAACGAGCTGAAAGAAGTGGTACTGTAAGGTTGCCGAATCTAGAGGACAACCTTGCAAACTGGATAAAGGAGCAACAAGGAAAGGGAATGGCAATTTCGACTGTAAAACTTCGCTTACAAGCAAAATTTATAACAAAACGAATGAACATAAATGATTTCAAAGGAGATGTAGCAGATTTATGAAAAGAAAAAATATTTCTGCGCGTACTAGAACAACAGTCGGGCAACAATTATTAATGGACTGGCAGGAT